CAGGCCAGGCCCGGCCCGGCCCAGAGCAGCGACGGGGCCGCCGCCGCGATGAACAGCGTGGGCGAGGCCTGCACCGAGCTGAAGCGCGAGTACGACCAGTGCTTCAACCGCTGGTTCGCCGAGAAGTTCCTCAAGGGCGAGAGCGCCGGGGACCCCTGCGGGCAGCTCTTCAAGCGCTACCAGCTGTGCGTGCAGGTGCGTGCGGCCCCGCCGGCTGCACACTGCTTTTACAGCCCGCGCTTCGCACCGCAGGCTCCGGCCCTTAGCACCGTAAAGATGCCTCGAGTTGATTCTTTTTTGTTTTTCTTTCCAGAAAGCAATCAAGGAAAAGGACATACCTATTGAAGGCTTGGAGTTCATGGGCCCAAGCAAAGGAAAAGCTGAAAACTCCTCTTGAGCTCAGCTGTGTGGGTGGAGTCACTAACATGAGCCTTTGGACTAAGCAACGTCAGCAGGCAGATGGCTGGATGCCACCTGGATAAAACCTTTGTTAAACTGCTTTTTAGGAAGCAAGGAATTGTCTCTGCTTGTAAAAATAGCCACAAAAAAAAGACTGGATCATATGGTAACTCTTGCCTCCTTTTCCAGGAATTTTGGTGGTGGTTCAGCATCTAACAGTGTGAGAGGCCATTTGAATTAACTTTCTGTTGAATGTACTCTGACAGCAGAATGCTTATTAGAGTGGGCTGAGGTAGTGGTTGTTTTGTGACTGATTTCTCTTGCTTACTTATATAACACATGAAAGTGTTTCAAGAGAATGTGGAGGAGGTTGATTTACTTTGTCTCATCTCTATGCTGCTGAATTTTGGTGGAAGAAGTTTGTTTTCTATGATCCTGAATGCTGAGGGGCTAAAGTGTTGGTTTGTATCAACGACAGAGGTGGTGTAAAAGCACTCTATTGGGCCTGCAATAACCTAGCTAAAATAAACGTAACCAAGTTATATTTTGTTCGAGTAGATAGCTGTCCAGCAGAATCTGATTGCGACCTTTAGAAGGGATGGAGAGGGCCTGCAACAGAAGCTGAAGAGGACACTTAATGCAGAGGCCACTTCTTCAGCCTCTTCCGAGGTACCAAAACGATCCCGAACTTGAATTCTCACTCCTTTAGCATTACACACTCCTGTGGCAAAACTGCAGCAGCCCTGGCCATCCTTTCCACACTACCACAAAGCACCAGGCTGGCCACCATCACTGTTGGACTTTTGCTTGTGGTAGTTAAAGCGTGTGTTGAGTGAGGGAAATGTTGGGTTGAAGCTGACAGCCGATAACGTTAAAAGCCCCAACTGCTGCCTGGGGATCTCGCCTGCTCACAAGGCTGCTCACACAAAGGAAAGCAAATGGAAGTTGTTTGTGCTGGCTTGTAAACTGCAGAAATGCTCACAGCAACGAGGAGAAGGGTGTTTGGAAGAGGTGCAAGGGATCAGGATCTGTCCCGTCCCATGGCCCTGCAAGCATTGTGGCAGGGGAGGGGACGTTGGTTGATCCTTACACAGGGATGGGGAAATGCTGTCTCCTCTCATTACACCAACACAGGTGAAAGGGTGAAAAGTATGATGGCCTGGGGACTTCCTAATTTTCCTAGAATTAGTGAGGAAAAGGGTGAGATTCAGTCTCTTTGCTTTCAGACTCTACCTGAGGGATTGTTCAGAGGTTTCACTTTTGTAAAAAAAAAAAAAAGAAATCATGTGTAGTTCTCAAACATAGTAGCTGGCTTCTGATTAATGAGGGCCTCTGAGTAATGACCTGACACTGAGAGCCATGTGGGGCCTGTACAGGAGACAGGGAGCTGGAGCAGGCTGGGGCTGATGTTCTCTGTGTCTTCTGCCATGGCCTGGATAGCCAGGGGCAGCAGCCAGGTCTCACCCAGCCCCAGCGGCGCCCCGAAACTGCTGCTCCTCAGGTACACATGAAAACAGGGAGCGAAGAGAAAGGTCTTTCTAAAGACACACTAAGTAGCATTTTGGGGACTGTCAAGTATGCAGCTGCTTTTTTTTTTTTTTTTTTAAGGAATGACATGTACAAACAGTTTGCTTTTCTATGAGCTTCATGTAGGAAAGTCATATGATTTCGCTGGTTAGCTTTAAAACAGCTGTGCCCATAGTGCCTTGGCCAGTGCTTTTAACAGAGAAAAGCCTGTCTGGGCAGTCACTGTCCTGCTGAGGGGATGAAGTAAACTGCATGCAGACATGGGGACAACGCCGAGTCGGCTGCTGCGCTGTTCCTTTGGGGTGACACTACTAATGACAGCCAAGACATGGCTCTCTCTTTACCGTGCAAAAAATATAGCAACTGCACAAAGAATTGCAAAATGGTTGGCTTGCAGAAAAAAAGCAGCTTCGAAAATAAAAATTGGGCTGGAACACACTTGGGGCTTTCGAGCTGGCTGTGAGATAACAGAGCTCCTCTAGGGTGAGAAGCTGCCGTGCGACACGGTGTGTGTCCAGTAATGGAGCAAAAACTGTGTTCCCATCTGTAACCCCTGCAGGAGAGGCCTTGTACAACCAGACTGCAGCTCCATGAAGAGCAGGGTTGTGAGCAACATCTGTGCTACACGCTAGGGAATCCGAGAGCTGAAGATTAACAGTGGGAAGGCACACAGAGCTTAATTAAATGTATTTACCACCGCTCCCTCTCCCAGAAGGGACTGTGAGAAAACTGCCTTTGTGTCTGTTAATAAATGCTGTAATACCTGATTATGGAGAATGTGCTTCAGTGTATGTATTTTTGTGACTTTATGGCAATCAGTTAAAGCAGGCTTGAAGGAAATGGAGCAGGGTGTTGGGCCGAGTGCACCCTGTTGTTGTGTTACCAGGCACAGGAGTGAGCATTAACACTGGGGCAGTGAAACGCCTGCTCCTGCACGGGCCCTGTGGGAAGCCTCAGCGTTTTTCAGGCAAACACTTCAGTGTTTGCTTAAATCTAAAGAACAATGCAGATTTAACAGAAAAGCCAGATCCTAAATTCCAAGTTCAGAGTTGTTTATTTAAAGGACCTCTACACAAGCACAGATGGAGGCCCAAGGGCCATTCAGCTTCATCGTGGCAGGAATGTGGAGCTTAAATGATGGTTCCCTGAACAGTGGTTCCCACACAACCCTGGTCCGAGACAGGAAGAGCCAAAGTTCTGGCTGTGGTCACAATCTCAGTTTTCATCTTCATAGCCGGTTGGGAGAGCGTTAACGTGGGGGTTGTGGAACAGGGTTTTGTTCCCATCGCCCCAGGGGAAAGGCTGTTGAAGGAAAGAAAACAAGCCAGAGGCAGATGAATGATTTGTACAGCACAGGAAATCAAAGCAAGATGGGCTCAAACAACAGGCTAAGGCATGGGGCAAGGTGGCATCTGTTCCCAGCAGCAGGAGTGGGAAAACAATCTCCCTTAGCTGGGAGCCACTCTCTCTAGACAACAAGAGCTTTGCTCTTGCTTAAAGAACAACTGTGCTATGCTATAGGACCCAAATTTTGAGAATTTGGGATCCCCTCTGTTAGGTTTTAGATGGGTATTACTTTAAGGCAAGTAGGGCAGCTCTAGGAATGAAACATCTTTCAGCAAGACGTTAGCAGGATCACATAGGGGTGGGAGGGCCTGGGGATGTGCGGAACACTTGTACTGCCTCAGGAGCAAAGCCACGAGTTCAGGGCATAGCCTGGCACCCGGCGTCTCACACAGCACACAGGGAAGCAGGAGATGCTGTAGGATCTCAAGACACAGCTCTGCAGTCAGGGCAAAGACGGCCCTGAGGGAGCCCAGGGGAGGCCTGGGTACCTTGGTCCTGATGCGGAGGTGGGCGTAGGGGATGAACTCGGGGCGCTCGTGCCCGTGCTGAGCCTTCAGGTAGCAGTTCACCATGCACACGGCCACTCCGGGCAGCGCCACCACGAAGGTCAGCGTCTTCCACAGGCGGGCTGGTACGGAGGGACACCAGTTACAGCGTTAGTCAGCGCCTCCTCTAGTGACCCGAGAGCGCGCCACACGCACTTAACAGATTAATTGTGTCTAGTTTAATTAAGGAATGCCCTGTGTCCCT